CCCCCCCCCCCCCGAAATGAAATCCTAGATACGGCCCTGAATAAGGAAAGTGTTTTGAACTTATATAGTGGGTAATTGGTAAATGCAAGCCTTTTTTATTTTCATTGACAGTGACATGACAGAACATATGGCTTATAGTTACAAATCAGCTTGAATCCTATTTGAAAGCTAGGTTGTATTCAGGTGCTGTATTTCCTGACTGATTCTTAGAAGGTCCTCCTCATTGCAGGGCCCAACAAAAATCGAATAATCTTTCTCTGTATTGAAAGCGTAGATCAAGAGACCACTTAGATCATTCATCATCTCCGAACGTTGATAGTCACCATGCTGCTACGCATGGTCCAAAAGCTCCACGATTTCGCATGAACAGGTCGTTGAATGCAAAAGTCACTGATGAATTCATTCTTTCCAAGCCGAGGAAAGAAAAAGGACTTCGCCTTCACAGCCTGGTTTCATCTTGTGTCCTTCCCTCCCCCGTCTGGGAGGGATTATTTTTCATGCCACCCAGCATGAGAGACGAGGAAATTGGGCATGTAATGCTCCTCAACATCAATTGTACTAGCGGCAAGTAAACCTGCTCTCGAGAAGTACAACAGAAGGAATAAGCCATTTCCATCACAGCCTCCCATCCCTTTTGGATGCTTGGGACAGGATATCTACTTTTCGCAAGCGCTAGCAAACCATTAGAACTATCCTCGATGGTCCAAACTTTTAGCATGACTGCCATGAAAACGCGTCCAATCTTTGTCGCATCCGCTTGCAAATCCTTAACAGTGACGGCCATCACTGTGGAATGACATTGACATTTTTTAATCCATCTTGCCCTTTTCGAGATACCGAGATCAAGTACAAGTTATTAATTGATGCGGCACTTATATGTAGCATCATAAAAAGCAGATCAAAGAATGTATAACATAGATACGATAATCAGATACCATGAATCATGAGTAGGATTGACATATTCCATTTGAACAGAACCGAAATAAAACAAAGTTCGATAATTGTTTGGAATGTAATAGGTTCTCTTAGTCCACCACGGAGGCCAACAAAGAATTCCAGTCAGCAGGAAATGATCCTCTTCCCCTTTTCTATCAGGTAATTAAAGTCTTTTCCCATGACCACAATAAACCAGGACGAAAAATCTCCATCATATCAATATAGGCGAGCCAGTGGTCATCCGTGTTTAATTATTAGGCCTCATGAACTCAGTCACGATACAAATCTCCCAATTATGATACAAATTTTTGGAGAGAGTTGCGAAACCGTGACGTTAGCAGTTGCGGAATCCTGCCCAGCACTCTCAATGTTTTAGGCATTAAATCATTGTTACAAATCGGGAATCACGATGAAGGCGAATGATGCTCATTGAGAACAAGAAGCAAACGGATGAAGGTCAGTCTCGCCCTACGGACATGACGTATCTTATATATGCTCTCATGTTTCAATCGATAGTTGGGACAATCAAAATATCGAATGATTAGGTCTAGCAAGATTAAGAAATAGCTATCGTTGCTTAACTTTCAATTAACGTTATGGCACCTAATAGGCACTAAGGAAAGGAAACTGATGATTAAAAAATGATTCTACAAATTGGTACGGAAACGAACATATGTATGACGAACACCTATCAGCTGGAAGTAATTGGTCGATTTCTTAATTCTTGCAACTAGGATGATGGAACAGATGTTGTGCATCACATTAACATCAATATATTTTGCATGTTTAGGAATCAGGTTTGTATTGTATCCACTTTGAAATTGGTCATAGCTTGGAGGAGAGAATAGCATTTTTACAGAAATAAACTATATAAGAAAATTTTCTATTTTTATCCTCTAAGTTTATTGCTCCTTCTGTCAGTAAGTGTTCCACGACTTAGTTCACATTTTAAAAAACCACCAAGAAATAGACTAGGCTTTACAAACCAAGTCGTTTTATATCTACACTTCCTTCAAAAGCGGTCGAAATATCTTCTCATGAGCATAAGTTTCATAACAATTAAACTCATGATTTTTCCGGGAGAAGAAAGGGGGAAAATAACATGGAGCTAACTAGACATGTACATTTTTCAGTGCAAGTACTGATACGTTTTACAAGTATTTGAAACAAAACCAAGGCAATCGGCCATAGGAGAAATAAAAAGTTTCGACAGTAACACATTCCCCTATACATGAAATAATAGAATATAAACTCTCTGACTTCAAATTCAATAACTCATCAACAACAGTGTGAATAGAATTATGTGTAATTCCTTTTCCCATAAGACAACTCCCCAAATACTAAGTCCTGCCTTCACATCTTTCACGAGTTTATGGGGAAGGAGTTAGGGAAAACGAATTTCGCAGGTGATAGGCAGGATATTCGAACAGGAGACATCCTCCCACATCCCCCTTGGAGACTCTGGAGATTTCCCCATTGCGACACATCTCCCATCCTGTGTTCCCTCCTTGAAATTCGGCTCTCCTGGAAGCCAGAAGGTCTTCATTGAATCAGCCACCAAACTCTCTGCAACGAAAACAATCCGAAAGTGCGTAAGGTCAGCGTGCATGGAATATTCATCAGTTCTTCTATTCCATTAGTATATGAGCATGTCAAGTTTGCTGGGACAATTTAATTGCCTTCATATTAGGATGCATCATATAAGCAGCAGATAAACTATATCCACATTCGGTAGAACCTTAATCTCCTGTTCTCTTTGCCACCAATTAAGCAAAAATAAGTTCAACGACCATTCATGATCTTAAAATCGATAATCTTCCTCACCATCAACCCAGGAGTGCTCACTATTCCAATCCGTGTCGTCAGCTCCGATCCAAAACTTGTCTTGGGATGGGAAATGCGACTCCATGAATTGAAGGACGTAATCGTGCCACTCTTGACCTCGATCGTCCATGACGAGGTGAGCCAAACCTTCGCCTTTGCAAGTGCTCCTTGCTTTCGTGTATTGTCCTTTCCCCATCGCTCTCAGAAAGTGAATTTTCCCCGTGACCATCGCAAATTCGAATTCTTTTGAAGCAATTGTTTCTGCAAGGAAGAAGTGAAACATCTTGGACATAGAAGCTCCTAGCTTGTTGACACTATATCCCTGACATTCTTGTTACGTAAACTATTGTATAGTTCTTGAAAGCCTAAAAAATTGTGAGGTCAATGTTTGCATTAATGTACCATGTACGTGAAAGTTTTGTCAAATCATTTGCGAAGAAGATCCGTGATTGTACTGACTCCCTCACAACTCTTCGGAAATCTTGAGCGATGCACGTGTTCGATTCAAATTGTTCACTCATGCGAAATTATCTTGCGCAATGCAACACCCGAGAAGCGCTTTTTAGGCAATGATTTCCATTTTTTAGCTGAGGTGAACATTCTGAATTGCAAGACAGGGAATTTCACATGTTTCAGTAGTAATAATGTAGGAAATGAAGGATTAAATTAAAGAGTGGGAGTGAGACATTCGTTTTTCGGACGTTAAAGAATTGAGGTGATATATTTCCAGGCCAATTATGCATCTAATATTCAAATTACAATATAAATATTGTTCTTGTAGTCACTCTTGGTAACTTTTTTTTTTAGTAAGGAGAATTCAGAATTGGTTCCTGGATATCGAACAATATTTTAAAACATAAAGACAGGTTTCATTCAATCCAGTTCTTGCATCTTGTTCACATAGAAGTGTAAATTTATATATCCTGTTTAAGTTTGCTCACGCGTATGCATGACACAAATGTATATGGGCAAATGCGTTCTGGCACCAACCTTCATTGATCCCTTTGACAGACTATAACCCTTACCTGAAACAGAGATCCTGGATGTTTTATTACGGTCTACAACGAATGTGGAGTTCTTGGAGAGGAGCTGACAAATGAAGCTATCATCACCCTTCTTCAGGGCGAACCCTAGGCACCATTGTTCCCTGAATGAGACAAAAAATGCGAATTTCAAACTCAACTGTTAACAGGAAGGAAATTGACCAAAGAGTTACGGAAGCGATACTTGTCACAGGCGTTTGCACATCTGCACGATTTCCACTCTGGGAATTCTCTGGATGAGTTGTTTCCAACGTAGTTTCCAGGCAGGAGCACGTATTTGGATAATTCGGCCTCTTTGAAAAGTAGGAAAAAGAGAACAGGGACAATGCTCATTTTGTAGGGTGATAACCCTTCAAATTTCACACGATTTCACACGATATATATATGGGCAGAACGAGCAGACTTGGGAACTGGAAGTCTTGTTAGAAATGTGCCAGAACCTCTTGGGATACCCCACGACGCAAACGTATGAGCTTCAAATGTCGATCTGTTGACGCCGTGCGTTGCCATGGTTGCTGTTCATTTCAGCCCATAAAACGTGACCTCATTGGGATGGCAGATTGTGTTGTCGCGAAATGAAAGCGCTCTTTCACTCATTTCTGGTCATTCCTGGTCTCCTCTATCTATACTCTGATGACTCACTCATACTCGATGATACTCGCATCCCTTCTTAATTTCCTATTATGATCGAAACGCTGCAAGGCGCTCGAGGAAAGACGCAGTTCCAACAGAGAATCTGGCCTTAGATCCAACGCAATGTCCCATATTCACCTTAGATGCCCCCTCTGACAGTCCATTTCGACGAATGGATGACCAGCAGGTGTCATTAGGACTCAAAATCCTGTCCACAAAAGAGTATTACTTCATCTGAACATGCTGGAAGGTTTTAGGTTTTTGGTTCTAGGGTTTTGGAGTAAGAAACAGTTGGTTCTTGAGGTTTGTGGAGAAAAATAAGTCAATTGGGATATCTGGAAAGAAATCAGGCAAGGACATCTCATCCGACCCAGCTCATGGCCTACTCAACTTCCTCGAGAAGGAAAGAAGCTTTCATAAATCACGAACAACACCTGGCACATTCCGCTTGTGCACACAGGGGGAGAAGTTGGTAGGATGGAAAGTCCGTCAATCATGTGGAATCTAAATATTTCTTCCGCTCGACCACCATAGCCGAGGAAGTCGATACCTTCGGTATATCTTCCGTCCCACTCTCCCTGCGAGTAATTAATGTTCTTTCCCATGCAGGAAAAACCAATACCACGAACGTGAATGTACTACGAACGTGAATGATACCAAACGGACAAGCCCGTGACTACGGTGCCACCATTTTAAATACTTCTCTTCTTCATATCGTTGTCATCCAAAGTTTTGCTCCATGCCTCATAGCGGAGGTATGATAAAGAATAATGGTCCTCCGCTCTTCCAACGATTGCAATCCTAAATAATTTCCAGTTATTATGGAGTTGTATCGATATGTGTCATGTTTTGACAGATATGTGCATGGGTTTTGCCCCGAAGTAGGCTTTTACCATCAGAAAACCCTCAAGTCGGTGTTATCTTCAAAGCCTAGGGTATCCAGCAAGGAAAAATTTGGAATGTTTTATTTAGGCCCCAATAGAGATAAAGGGCCCCATCAGAACAACTACGCCGTTTCAACATTAACGATAGTTTGAAATGTTGAGAAATTTTTGAAGTTGAGATTACTGCAAAGAATCGACAAGAAATTTCGGCAATTAGTAATCATCTTCATTTTTAGCATGTGGTATTTATTAACGGATTAAGGATGTCGTATGGAGGCTATCAAGTGCAAATCCTTTTTCACATCGGCCTCATAATGGGCTCGATAGTTTTTCAACATTAAATTATTCAAATTATGTCAAGAGAAAATAGGTTCTACCGATCAGCACCCAACCGCCGATTGGGCGATTCTCTCCCCAATGCCATTGCAGGGAATTTCCTGACTTTTTTCATGTAGTTCCCGATCTTTTCCCACGTACAAAGTGGAAGGCTTTGAAACATCAAGATCAACCCGTCTTCTTGATGTAATTCCGCCGAATAAAATGCAAAGTATTTCTGGTGAAGGAGTGAAGTACCTCTTTCTTCTCCTTTAATACAAAACCTTTTCCCCTCATGTCTCCTCTTAGCCAACGCGGACTCTTCTTTCATGAACCAGGAAACGCTCAAGTTGGGGCAATGATCTTTGCAATTGACACGCTCCTTTCAATAGACATCCCTCTTCCTCCGGTAATTTAAAGCCGCATGACCGTTTCATGGATATTTTAATATCGTCAGCCATATGCAGCTCGAACTATCACAACTTCTTAGGGCTGAAGAGCAACAACAAAGTAGCTTTAGTTTACTGTATAAGTTGTGGACAGATGAATCTAAAGTACGAGAGGGTCTTTCTCTTCTCATGTGCAAACGGTATCCACACGCTACGCAAGTTCATTGTATCATTCCACACTGAAAGGAAATCTTTTTAACTTCTTCAGCTCCAAGAATCTTCATATTCTCTGACGGCAGCAGTGGTGGGGTGTTTTATAGTTAGACTCGAGACGCACATGGATTCAGGTGAAAGAATGGAAACTGGTCCGAACAAAGAAAGCTCCCATATTGCTTACTCCATTCTTCTGCAACATCTCTGCCGGTAAGCGATAATTTATTGCAGGTTCTCCATTGGGAAAAATGGAGTGCGGTCAAGGTATGTGAGTAAAAAGTATCCAAGTATCACTAAGGATTTTTTCTTAGGAAATAATTAGACCAACGTTCAGTTAACGTTCTACCTCCTAAAAGACTTTAATAACTTTTATTGGTAAAAAGAAGCATGTAGCATAAATCAGCCTGTCATGTTCCACGAAGACACTTAGAAGGAAGTGGGATAGATGGTAAGTCCATCGATCGTATGAAGTTACGAGAAAACATTTTCTTTAATGTCTTCACCTTTTTTCAAAACCGTCCCCCTAGGGACTGACTGACGTTAGGCCTAGTCCTAACCAACAGACTACATTTTCGTCAAGCAAAGGCCTACCTTTTTTTCTTTCAAAAGAAATTCAATTCTCGGCTAACGGGGCCAATCAGGCCTATAAAGGCGAATTTGTGGTCTTCATGCATCTCTTGAGGACATTTAACGTTCTGCCAATCGCTGCCATCTTCATACTTCCTCGAAGCCATCCAACGTTCCCCTCCCGCCCACCTGCATTACAGTATCATGGGGGTAATCCCAATGCTGGATCACTACAGTAGGTAGTTGGTAATATTCGAGTGATCAAGTTATCATAGAAAGCATGTTTAAAAAAAAACTATAAAAACATCTTACCGATAAGTTTTCATTCACTCAAAAATAATTTATATAGGATTCAAAGGGTTAAAAAAAATTTTTTTGAAAAGAGAGAGGGGTCCAAGCGCATTTTCCTCCACCCAAGACCGGTAACTTATAAGGAACCATAAGGCTAACGTTCCAAAACTTGTCATCCATGAAATATTTCATTTACCCTCCTACCCAGGCCTCACAATTCCTTTTGGCGACTCTGAGAAAAAGACGCGTTGGCTAGGAACGACCACGTTGTTGAATGACGTCACTATTGGGCAAGCACCTGCACATCAATCAAGCAAGCACATCTTTCATGGGTTTCTTGGGAAGGAGTTAGGGAAAACGGATTTCGCAGGTGATAGGCAGGGTTTTGGTACAGGCGACATCCTCCCACATCCCCCCTGGAGACTCTGGAGACTTCCCCATCGCGACACATCTTTCATCCACTACTCGGTTCTTGAAATGAGGCTCTCCCGGAAGCCAGAAGGTCTTCATTGAATCAGCCACCAATCTCTCTGCAACGAAAACAATCCGAAAGTGCGTAAGGTCAGCGTGCATGGAATATTCTTCAGTTCTTCTATTCCATTGGTATATGAGCATGTCAAGTTTGCTGGGACAATTTAATTGCCTTCATACTATGATTCATCATACTAGCGGTAGGTGAACTATATCCACATTGGGTAAAACCTTGATCTCCTCTTTTTGACACCAATGAAGCCAAAAGTTCAAGGTCAATGCCCATTCACGATCCTAATATGAATCTTCCTCACCATCAACCCAAGAAAACTGGTCATCCCAATCAGCGTCGTCAGCTCCGATCCAAAACTTGTCTTGGGATGGGAAATGCGACTCCATGAATTGAAGGACGTAATCGTGCCACTCTTGACCTCGATCGTCCATAACGAGGTGGACCAAACCTTCGCCTTGGCAAGTGCTCTTTGCTTTCATGTATTGTCCTTTCCCCATCGCTCTCAGAAAATGAACTTTCCCCGTGACAATCGCAAATTCGAATTCCTTTGGAGCAATTGTTTCTGCAGGGAAGAAATGAAACATCTTGGATATAGAAGCTCCTACCTTGTTGATACTATATCTCTGACATTTTTGTTGCGTAAACTATTGTATAGCTCTTGTAGTCTTAAAAAATTAGTCATTTCTGTCCACAGCATCGACGCGAACACTCGCTTCAACAACGATTACTGATCCTCATCTCCAAATTCTTCACTTATTTTTTTCATTTTGTGAACTTTTTTGTTGAGGAGTCAGCATTATTGCTTTACTATTTCCTTAGTATTTCTAGAAACTTTTCTGGGAAAACGCCATTGTTAAGCGGGGCATCCCTGAAGGTATTATTCAGTACTGCCAGCATTACAAGCTTAAGAACGAATCAAGTCAAGCATTCCTTCCTGGAATTCAGCTCCCAGAAAGACCTTTACTTTGATCATGTTCGACACTAGAATGACGCTCTCTTTCACACTAGTGTCGACTTCAGCATCAACTTGAATAAAGGTCAAACTTCGTTGGGACAGATTTTTTGGTGGGAATAGTTTATAAAAATTAGGAATGCATTCATTTCCCTTCAATTCGACGAAATTGAATGATAAGCCTAGGTTAGAGATTGGAACATTTTTCGAAATAGCTAGTCATGATTACTAGCTTCATGGTCGCATATACTAGGAAACCAGATCGTAACTGTCACCATTGACACCTTTTCATTTAGGGGATAACACCTAGCTTGGGGAAAGATTTTACCTTGTACAGAGACTGTCTGGGGATATTCAAGATATATCATGCCTCGTATAGACAGCCTGTCTCATTTTCTCTACGCTAATTTTTGTACATTTTTGCTATGTTCATTCAGAGAGGTGCAACATTACATGCCTTTGTCAGTCTCTATGAGTAAGAGTAACAATCGCGATACCCATCAATGCCACTAGTGCATATTCACTAAAAGATATCTTTTTCACCTGTCACGCGAATTCCAATGTACCTTACCTGAATAAGCGATTCTGTATTTTCTTTCGGGATCTTCAACAATGGTGGAATTTTTCGAAAGCAGCTGGCAAATGAAACCATCTTCGACCTTTTTCAGGGCATAGGTGATGCACCATTTTTCCCTAGGAAAAACAACAAAGCATACGCGTATATATTATACTATTTTCTTTCGGTAGTAACTTGATAGCACATAATCAACGACGTTACATTGTGCAGAAGTGTTCACAACGGCACGGTTCCTTGTCATGGAATTCCTTGACTGGATTTTTTCCCATGTAATTTCCAGCCAAGGGCACAAACTTCCCCATGACAGCTTCTTGCACGAGGAGGAATAGGATGACAGAAGTGCTCATTTTCTCGATCGAGAACGTTTCGAATATTCAGATATTTAGGATGGACGCACATGAGAATGGTGGTTTTTTCTCCGAAATCCCCCGTATACCTCTGTTAGGCACACATTGCGCATACGACTATACTTTAGCTGTCGATCTGTTGTCGATATGGGTTTCCATGGTTGCACCTTATTCTTATTTAATAAATTCTCGAAGAATGTGTTTTCATTACCGAAAAAAAATCGTTCCAAGCCTATCATTATTTTCCATGAAGGGCATATGATAAGGAATGCTTTCCCTTTCTTTCGATCGACTGGTGATTCAATTTAAAACGTAAGCCTGCATACACATGCATCTGAGCGGAATGTGAACCTGGCACCAGCTACCTGGCACCTGCTACCTGGCTACCGCAGGGCGGTAGGAAGTAGAGTTCGAACCTGGTTGATGGGTGACAGTTGGGTACAATGTGGAAATAAACTTACGAAGATGGTGTTTTGTTAGGGATGTTTCCTATATTTCACAATATGAGGAAAAGTCAAATAGCCAAGAAGCAAGGTAATGTGATATGGAATCAGCCTTGTATCATATCATACAATCGATATTGCGCGATTGCATACTTTCAAAGTAGACAGCTTACAATGGTTAGATTACAATGATGCTATGAATCAGCACATCTGTAATACATTGCGGAAGACACGGAAGCGCCAAGATGCTGAGATTCTTTCAATTTGTCCAATGATATGTATGAGGGAACAATAACTTGAGTATGGTAGGTCTAACCTTAAAATGCGTCCAGGACACGTTGGGAATCCCCATCGTGCAAACGCATCAACTTCAAATGTCGATCTGATGGTTTGGGTAGCGACGGTTGCAGTTCTTTTCAACATGCATTCCTTTTTTAAAGAAGAAACTCCAATCGCGATGTAAAGGTTCCTCTCTGTAAATCAATTCCTTGCAAAACAGGCTGAAATATGGTACCATTCGGTGAGGAGTATTCGCTTGGCGAGAAAAGAGGCGCTCCTAGCTCATATATTTGAAATATTCCTGACCTACGTGGAATTTTTCTCTAATTTTTTTTTCTTGTAAAACTTCTCACTTGGCATTTCCTTAGAATATAGAAAAACCTCATCGATTGTATAATCTTTAATGAAATATCTGATTTTTCCACCACCTTATGTCCTCTGAATAGGTAACCTTGGATATTCTCTCATGGTTTCCAGCAACCGTGCTTCCCTAGCAGCTGATAATTGAATCCATGTCTGGATCCTTTAGCTTTAAAGAATGCAGTTAACCCTTTTACTGTTTAAAAAAAAAGCCCTCACTGTGTTAAAAGAATTTAAACGCAGGATTTCCAGTAAAAGTCAAGAAATGAGTTGCATGGGGATTCTTGCTAAACTCAAGTACACGAACAGTTTCTCGCCCTTTTGGCCTGCCTCTATTTCTGCTTGCATATCCACTCCCATCATCGTAATTTTCACCTCCTCAAGTTTCAGCTTCAATTTCCATTTCTACATCAACTTCATTTTCACTAATAACATAGTAAATGCCACAATTAGCATTTAAAATTATATTTATTTCATCATCATCTAGCGCAAAACTAAGTGCGTAGGAAGCCATATTTTTTACAGAATGGGTCGATAAAGATACGAACTTTATTTTTTTGTTATTCAATGCTTCCGAAAGTCATATGTGTCGACAAAAAAAGACCCATTGTATGGAAAATGTTGGTTTTTTTTTTTAAATACCGAATTTATGTCAGTTACAGTCATAAATAGAAGAGAAACAACGTAAAAGTGCTGGGTTTCAGAGCCCGAGTACGTACTCGGGCTAACAGCGAAAGGATTAAGTGTGTGCACTTGGCAACATTCTTCCATCTGAGCAATTCAAGTGTATCCTTCCCTCTCGTGGCCTTTTCATTTTTTCCTCTGTAGAAGGAAGAAAGTAGCATAAATCACAACGGACCTGGAGTTTTCTACATGAAAGCACATAGGAGAAGTCGGGAAACCTGCAAATCCATTTATTATGTAGAATTTCAATTCTTCCATTGGTCGACCACCAAGGCCGACTACGAAGTCGATACAGTCTGAATATTTATGATCCTGCTCCACTCCGGGCTAGCTAGCTGAGCCGCAAGCAAGAAAAGACTCGCGCCATTACACGCTTAGCCTAGGGTGGAAATGTGAAACTTGAATAAAGTGGTAGCCTCATGGAACCCTTCAGGAATGGTTGGGTTGACACTAGTAAATCTCATACCAAAGTTTCAATTACTGAGAGGGTTGAAAAAGTCCATACTTTTCCAAAACGAAATGTTGAAGAGAACTTTCCATGCCCCACGAAATCGAGTAGTAGCCCTGCAGTTTGAAATCCCTGGCCTAGACCGACCCGAAGTTCGCGGAAGTCTTCCAGAGGTCATTCTCGAGAACGGGAAAGAAGGGCTACTGCTTATATCTTTGAGAGGGCCGCTGAGTTTAAGGGCTGCTGACTGAGCTCGGGAATTCCAGAGAAACAGTTTATAGAAGACTCCGCGCCGGTTGGAGTGCCCGGCTCACGGTCTCCAGGTCGCTTGTTCTCTCCTTTCCAGCCTCTGCGACTGTCGGATCCGTTCTTGAGAATGGGAGAGAAAGGAGTGAATATCACCGAGTGATGTTCACTCCTCGATATAAACTTCAACACGGGAAAACCCACGTACTTGGAGTCTCGTGTTCCTCTGCTCGAAGGAGAGTAACTCCCGAGTGTGAAAATGGCGGGCTCCCAACTGGGAGGGATGGAACGGACAGGTTTATCCTTGGATTGCAAAGATGCCGCCGGTCGTGTCGTAACCATCCCGTTTCCATAATAGTATCTTTCATTCATAGGCTTTCATGAAAAGTGAAGGAGATGGACGCGAGTACCTACCTCGCGGACGACAGGATATATTTTCCCACATGAAACTTCGTCCCTCATTCCACAGGAGACCGATTCATCGTGACATATATCCCGACGCCAAACGCGCCAGCATCCTTGAAATTGGCTCTTGCAGCAAGCAAGATGATGAACATGAAATCTTCCTTAATCCCTGAGAAAAGGAATGCTAATGCTTGACCTCACAGTGTATGGGATATTCTCCCATTCATTCTTTTCCAATGGGGAAAGAGCATGCAACAATTTTTGGGCCATGGAAATAGCCTTTTCTCTGCAACATACTCATGAAAACATCAATGCGTCGTCGAATCGATATGTCCTCATGTGTGTCCTTAAAGCCAAAGCTGGCTGTTCGTTTCAAAAGCCAGGAAACCCTCAAGTTGGAACTTATCCTTCCATTGACGTTCTCATTTCAATAGACACCGCAATTCCTCCAGTAATTTGAAGTCACATGACTTTATGATAGATATTCTCACATTGTGAGCCATATGCATCTCACAACTTCTTCAATTCATTTTTTTATATCGATAATGGGTATCGACAATCGATAATCTTCAAAGATCCTCTTTGTCAAAGTGATCTCAATTATGCTACAAAGGTCGAAAGTAGATGCGGAAGCGTGTGTTTTGAGACACAGAAGTGAGCCTAGCAGTTGTCGATTTCAATTGTCGATTTCAGTTGTCGATTTCAGTTGTCGATTTCAGTTGTCGATCTGTTCTTGACAAGCGTTTCTATGGATGGAGCAAAATTTTATTTAACCCTTTTTTTAAGGTGTTTTTATTGCACAATATGAAATTGTTCTTTGCATGTTACAACTTTTCTCCACGATCAGGAAATTTGAAAAAGGTTTTGTCTGACATTGGAACACAAGCCATGCAACAGTCTGACTGGCAGTTTTATAAAGGGGGAAAGGGGGTGGAGAAGAAACCAGGTGAATGGGTGAACTTGCAATCAGATGCAGCAGCAAGGGAATTTCCTCCTTAAGAGTTCTTCACCGAGTCACAAATCCAAGCTGGAAAGCAAATGTTTTAAAGTGTCCGGAATCTGTCATTGGACCGAAAATTTCACAATGAACGTCATTTCCTTCCTTCAATTTCCCAATGCCACGTCAACAGCTACGCCACAAGGAGTTGCTGTTGACATGGCAGTATAGGTTGGGCAGTCGGCTGTTGGAGAAACAGGAAGTTTCAAAGATCATACATAACACTATACATGAACTACTACAACTTAAACTCTCCAACTTCAAATTCAATAGGTCATCGACAAAGTAAGGAATAGAATTCCCTGTCTAATTCTCTTTCCCGAATGAATCCTCCCCCCCCCCAAATAAAAAAGAACTACTTTCACACCCAGTCATAACATTTTATTTGATTTATCTTTGAGTCATAAATGGGGAAATTGTCTTTTCGTTGGGCCATACATCGGGAAGTTGGTTCATATTCAGCGAATGATTTGGTCAACCAACTCACAGTTGGCAGGCAAATCATTCCCGAAGATGAGCCAATGTGGCTGAGAAGGTTCCAAAAACCAGAAGAGATGAAGTCAAGGTTGTCGTTGTAGTGAGTCACTTCCAGGATTCTAGTGAAATGAGACCCCTGCATATTTGACACAGTTTCCTTTGGTTTCTCCTATAGACCTCAGTGGAATTCCATAAAACATTTCTCAGAACATGTAGCCCAGCCCTGGAATGAGCCAGGAAATTCAGACCCGGAGGTCCATGGGAGGAACCTTCTTTGTTCCACGATAGATCACACGACCTTTCTTCATCGGATGAAGACAATGGGCAGTTTTATTATGTGCAAGGCGAGTTTGCCTTCTGCCAGACAGATATTCTTGCGTTCCTATGTGATTCCGCTTCTTAATGTTTGGGCATCAGGAAAATGTGCTTCTTGAGATGTTCCCAGCTCTTAGCATAAGGAATGTACCTGAGTAAGATACTGATAATTCATCTCCCTTGGGTAAAGCATCAGGAGGGGGTGCAAAGGATGGAAAATGCTATGGATGCACCTCTTCTCGCTTATTTTTTCCTATACCTTCTCACCATTGTGAAAAAGGCGGCTCAAGATTGGGGCATGCGTAGTTTCCTAACAATGAGCCAAAGCTGGCGGAATGATGGGCCAACAGGACAACCCCGACTATAAGCCGGCTTAATCGAACATTAAGGTAACCATATACCAGTGATGGCTCAATTAAACATTTTTGATAAGGCATCCGTAACGGGTTTCTAGAGAATGAGTTAGGGGAGACGGATTTCGCAGATGATGGGCAGGGTTTTCGAAAAGGAGACATCCTCCCATTTCCCCCCTTTGTACTTCACCATCGCGACGCATCTCGCGTTCTGGTTTCCACTTTGGAAATTCGGTTCGCCCAGAAGCCAGAAGGTCTTCATTGAATCAGCCACCAAAGTCCCTGCGTTAAAAAAAAATCCAAAAGCGCGTGAGGTCAGCGTGCATGAAATATTCACCATGTCCTCTATTCCAATGGGATATGAGCGTGTAAACATTGGTGAGACAACTTAATATCCTTCGTCATCATTTATTCTGAGAATAGAACTTTTCCTAGGATTCATCAAACTATCGGTAGCTAAACTATATCCACATTAGGTAAAACATTGATCTCTTTTTGACACCAATGAAGCCAAAAGTTCAAGGTCAATGCCCATTCATGATTAGTTTTCTACATGAACGCACACGGGAGAAGTCGGGAAACCTGCAAATCCATTTATCATGTGGAATTTCAATTCTTCCATTGGTCGACCACCAAGGCCGACAACGAAGTCGATACAGTCTGAATATTTCTGATCCTGCTCTACTTCCAACAATGGTGATAACTCATTTATGTCCTTCCCCTTGGACAATTAATCATTGCTACTAAGACGGCCTGCTCTCATGCGGACGAGCCAACGCCTCGTTCGGACCTTTTTCTTAGTGCTACGTCTCATGAACTACGTCGCAGCAATTCCAGTTATGCTATTATCCAGTTATCCTTACCGGTGTATCAATTTCTTCGCAACGTTGTGTAAAATACTGTCTGTATGTCACAGCAATGTGGAAATGAAACTGAGGTCAACATTTAATATATGTTTAATAAATATTAAATGTTGACCTCAGTTTCATTTCCACATTGCTGTGACATACAGACAGTATTTTACACAACGTTGCGAAGAAATTGATACACCGGTAAGGATCTAAGCTAAACGTTGACACGATGGCGAAGCAAAGCTTTTCAAGCCAAATCATTTCAGATCTACGCTTCCTCGACGATTTCAACGTCGAAATTGCTTTTCATGAGGATGACTTTCTTCGCAACTAAACTCATGATTTCTCCGGGGAAAGGCGGAGCAAACTGGAAATATACATTTTTCAGCATATGTGTGTCTGACACGTTGTTCCTTTTTACATTTCAATTCCAAAATAATTGACCACATAGACATTCACACATCGAGATCGAGAAGAGATTCACATAGACCAGAAAAAAAAATCCCTCTAAAAAATATAGTTTGACTTTGTCATCTTGTTCGCGCCTATGTAAACAAATATAAATGGGGAAATGCGTTCAGGTTCTCTCCTTCATGGATCCCTTGGACTATGTGTCACCCTTACCCGAAACAGAGATCCAATATGTTTTATCAGTATCTACAGCAATTGTAGAGTTCTTGGAGAGGAGTTGACTAATGAAGCTGTCCTGAACCTTCTTCAGGGCGAATCCATGGCACCCGTTTTCCCTGAATGAGGAAAACATAAAACGTATCAATGGAATGTTAACCGGAAAAAAGTGACCACAGATTTTCGAATGCTTGTCGCAGGCGTTTGCACATCTGCACTATTCCCACACCGAGAACTCTCTGGATGAGTTGTTTAAAACGTAGTTTCCATTCCAAAAAATGCATCTAGGTATCTTCATTCATGGATCTCCTCGACTAGGTACCTTACCTAAAATAGAGACCCTAGATGTTTTATCAGGGTCTACAACAATAGTGGAATCCTTCGAAAGGAGGTGACAGATGAAGCTGTCATGAAATTTCTTCAGGGCGAACCCTCGGCACCATTTCTCCCTGATTGAGGCAAAAAAAGCGAATTACAGACTCAAATGTTAACAGGAAGTAAAACTGAAACAGTTTTCCAAAAACGATACTTTTCGCAGGCGTTTGCACATCTGCACGATTTCCACTCCGGAAATTCTCTGACCGAGTGGTTTCCAACGTAGTTTCCAGGCAGGAGTACGTATTTGGGTAAGGCGTCCTCTTCTCGGATGAGTAGGAAGAGGAGGAAGGAAAAAATGCTCATTTCGTCGGGCGAGAAGCTTTCAAATTTCCCACGACAGATTTCACTTGAGAGTGAGAATAAGCGCACTTGAGAACGGTAGGTCTTCCTTGGAAATGACCTTCGGCCTTCCCAGGACCCTCCAGTACGCAAACGCATTCAACTTTAAAAGTCGATGTGTCGACGGCGTAGGTTGCTATGGCTGCAGTTGATAACGTAGTGTATCCTTTTCCTAATGATGAAATATATATGAAGTGCGGAAGTGAAGTAGAGCGTGTGAAGGGTCGGATAAGAAGCGTCTTTCTAAAGAAATTCTGAATAGCATCTTCTTCTCCACTGATATCGAGCTCAATACCCTCATCTCCCTCAAAAAAGAAACATAGAACACAAGAAATGAAACCCAGTCTCAGATGAATTACTTTTCGCCCTTTCTGAGACAGATTTGGGATTCGTCGAGGTATGAGATGACGCAACACTGACGCAACGCGTTGGTGTGGTCCTTACAACTGCAAACATGGACCGCAGTCCACGTGATGTTGATAGCAAATGTTGCAAAGACATTCGTAGAAGTGTCGCAACAACATTTCAAGTGAAAACATTGAAGCTATGTTTTATCAATGTTGTAGATCAACTTGCAACTTAGAGCAACATAGGCAACATTTCGGAAACGTTTCATCAACATACTGTGTTACTTGGGAAAGCATCAAATTATTCCTGAGTATTGGGACCGCTGAAATGCTGAAATCTCGTTCCAGCACCAAGGCTTTACGAATCGAATTGTTAACCCGTTCGTTGTCAACGCTTGTTAACACCTGTTGCGGCTAACGCCTACGTACGTTGAACGGTTGCCGAGATGAAAATTTTGCAGTTCATGGGGTTTTTCCGTTTTCCCCCCAATTTTTTTGGTCCGTCGTATTTGCTCTCGTCGCAGGGAGACCGCTGGAAGTTTCCATGCAGGGGGCCTGCGGGTGGAGGCGCGAGCTTCCAAGGGAGGAGCGTCTCGACGGTCACGTCTCCCTGGCCGGCGCGTGAAATCTAATTGGGAAAA